GCATAACTGTTTTGCCTTCTTAAAGATGTTTGGCTTAAGCTAAATCTAGGTTAGCTTGCATTCCCTGGAGAACATACTGTTTAGGAAAGAAAATCAGGGAGTGAGAGGGTGGGGGCAGTGCTCCTTCAGGGAAGGAAGTCAGTGCTAACCCACACCATGCTTGGAAGTTAGTCTGCATTGGGAATCTAGACAGCCTGCCCTTGGGAAGAGTGGGAATGAGGTCAAATGGCTCTTTGGCATCAAAGTGTTTGGAAGACACTGTTGGTAGCATTGAGACTTGATATTGAGGCTAGAATGTTGGAAGATGAAAGAAGCATGCCATATTGAGGGGATCTAGGTGAGGAAGAGAAAACCTAAGTGAACTACTCCTGGGAATTTATAAATCCTTAGCTGAGGAGTCAAAAATAATTGTGTGTGTGTATTTGTGATTTGCCTTTAATTTTAAGCAGTAAAGTTTTAAAAAGAACTATTTTAGTTGACTTAATAATTGTATGTTTATGAGGTACAGTGATAATTTAAAAAGTGTGTATAAAATGTAATGATAAAATCAGAGTAATTAACACTTCCCGCTTCTTCAGTGTTTATGTATCATGTGTCAGGAAGCTTCAAACTCCTCTCTTCTAGATTTTAATAAAACATATATAAATCATTGTGAACTGTAGTCACCATACTGTGCTGTGGATCACTAGAACTTATTCCTCCATTCTAAATGGATTTTGGAATCCACTTTCTCCCTCTCTCTCCCATCTCCATCACACTTTCTGTGCTGTAGTGACCACCATTTTACTCTCTACTATGAAATCAACCTACATTTTTAAAAATCAGACATTTTTGAAATTCATAGGGAAAAATATGTCCCCATGAATATTTTAGCATATTCTTAAATTTTGACATTATTTTCTGTAAATTAATATTATCTAGAGTGGGTTCTGGGCTTGAAGTCTATTGGGAAACAGTAAGTATAATATTCTGGGGTTTTATGAAAAATAATGAGACTGTTAAGATCTGTTGAGAAATGTGGCCAACATCTACGGAGGTCATGAATTCAGATTTCAACTCCTGTGCCTCACTGTAGTCAAGTTGTAGAGAACTTTCTGTTTGTGATGTTCTTAACTAATGAAATGATAAATCTGAAGCTGGAATTCAAAGCACCTGCCATTTTATGCCTCTGTGACCTCTCTTCTCATTCACTGCCTCTTGAAATCCCATGATGGACTTCCCATCCACCACCCTCTCCACTTCCTCCTTCTCCAACCAACAGCTTTTTCCCACCATAGTTTATGAAATTAACTGTATCTGTCTGCTAGAGCTGCCCTATTAAAATGCCACAGACTGGTGGGTTCAACAAAAGAAAATTTTCTCACAGTTCTGGAGAACCAAATCAAATTTAGTGATTAGGCTGACTTTATGGGGAAATTTGATTCCATTCTCATCCAATTCAGTTTGCAACCAGAATCACGAAAAAAAAAAAGTTCATGAACCAATGTACCACTCCTATCTATCTATCTATCTATCTATCTATCTATCTATCTATCTATCGTCCACCAAAAAATATATACACACTTTAAGAAAAGAAAAATAATATGATGCTTTTTCAACAGATGATGTCACTCATGTATGAGGGACCCAAGAGGATGTCATATATCACAGAAAACCCACTACACTGCTGGTCCTTAGAGAAGAAATTGAAAAAGCATGTGCAGCAATCTCAATGACTAGGGTTACCCAAGCAGCAGTTTGCCATACTAATAAATGTCTAGAGGCTAATGGCCAGTGCTTTGAGCACCTCTTGTAATTATAGAGACCAAAGATAACTTGTATTAGTCTCATGATGTCTCAATAAATTTAGTATTAAAATATTTATACAAATTTTTCTTTTCCTGAAATGTGTATATTTTTGTTTTGTTTTGTTTTGGCTTGGTTTGTGTTTTCTTTGTGCTGTGGATCAAACCCAGGGCTTCATGCATGATGCTAGGTTAAGTGTTCTACCATTGCCTGGTATGTATATACTTTTGTGTATGTTCAATTTGGAACCTGTAAAAACTTCATTAATCAGAAAAAGAAAACACCTAATACCAAGAAACTTTGTTTCCTAAAAGCATAGATTGTCAGAAATTTTGCTCTTTAAAATCTTATCAGCAGGACTGAAACATTCCACATTTGCATGGAGAGTCCGAATCATTTTGACACAGAAAAGCAGCCAGGTGACAACTTCAGATAAAGGTTTTTTGGATGCATCATTTGGTTTATCATAATGTAGTAGTTTCCAAGGAAACAGGATCCTGAGATAGTTTCTTGGCCCTGATCTAGTATTAACTCCTTCACATATAGTCTCACTTTAATTTGAGCCTGTTAAAACATCACTTTCTTTACACTTTATCCAACTTCTACCCTTCCCAATATGTGTCTCGTAACACCATGTCCTTCCCTGTGTATGGTGGGACACTCATTTTTCCTTTGGAGAATGTTCTACCTTGTTGCAGCAAGTTAGTAAACTTGGCTGCTATTGGTCTACAGTTTTATGCCCAATTTTTTTTCCAGTACTGGGAATTGAATCTAGGACCTCACCCATGCTAGGCAAGCACCTTACCCACTAGGTTACTTCCCCAACCCGTTTTTTTTTTTTTTTACTAGTTGCTCAGGTTGGCCTTGAACTTTCATTCCTTTTACCTCAGCCTCCCAAGTAGCAGGGTTACAGGCATGCACTACCATGCCTGGTTTCCTGATGCTCTTTATCATATGAGCTTTATAAAAACATATGTGCATGGTATTATGGAAGATCTCTTTTTCCTTTTAAAAAATCCACCCAGTATTTAGACAATATCTGTTCAAGTCACTGTATGTCAATCTAATTCATTGCTTCTAACTTCTGGATAGGCCTTCACCTTACAAACACGTGTACACTCCCACACAGCATATTGTTTTATCTGTTTTCCTAGAGGTAGATAACCAGAGTTGCATCCATTCCTTTGTTCTACAACTAATGATGTCTGTCCTCATTCATTTCCTCTGAAGCCTCTTGGAGGATTTTCTGGGATGTAAACTCTGAAGTAATACTGCTTTGTACTAAGGGATATTGCCAGGATTTTCCTAAATATTGCCAGAGGAATAGTTCCAATTCAAATATTTTCTAGAATTTTCTGCTTTATAGTGTTCTTCAATTTGATGAGTATAAAGTAGTATTCTATTCAAGATAATTCCTTGAAATAGAAAATCATAGATTACTTTTAGAGGCAGTTGGGGGAGAGAAAATGTGACTGATTTGGAAGCACAGGAAAGAGGTAAGTGACAGAGTAGAGACCACCTTGTAGAGTAGACAGAGCCAGAGGAAGAAGGGCAGGAGATAGTTCCAGAGAAAGCAAGGAAACAAATTTGAATGGAGGGCATGACTGGAGTAGTGCTAGTTAAATTTGTATAAGTAAGATTTAGTTGGTAAGAGTAGTAGTAGGTCTCCATTTTGTGTCAACTTGACAAGTCCAATGGGTGCCAAGATGGGAGGTAAGACATCATATCTGGATGTGTCAGCAAGGATGCTTCTGGATGAGATAAACATTTGAATTTGTATACTGAATAAAACAGATGCTTTCCCAAGGTGGGTGGGCATCATCTAATTTTTCGAGGGCCTGAGTAGAACACAAAGATGGAGGGAGGAAGAATTCACTCTCTCCGTCTGCCAGTTTGAGGTAGGACATTATTAGTCTTCTAATTTAGACTCAAACTTATGCTCTTTTGGTCCACAGGTCTTTGAATTCAGACTGGAACTATATACTACTAGCTTTCTTGGGTCTCTGTGTTGCAGACTAAAGATCATGGGACTTTTTGGCCTTCATAATTTGTATGAGCCAATTTCCAATAAATCTCTTTATCTATATTGCATGTAATATAAAATATATCACAAATATTGTGCTATTAATATAAATTATTAAAATATACAAATCTCATCTATAATAAATTTATTTATATATAATAAATCTCATATATACAAATATTTACTATAAGAAATTGGCTCATGCAATTATAAACAACAAGGAGTCCCTCAGGCTTCCCTGTACAGGCTGGGGACCCAGGAAAGCCAGTTGTAGCTTCAGTCTGAATCCCAAGGCCTCTCAGTTTTTTATCTCTGCAGAACCCTGACAGAACAGTCCCTGGCATGGAGGTAGTATGGTCAAAAGGGATGTTTTAGAAAGTCCAAATTTTCCTATGGCACAAAGATTGAGAAGTTAGACCAGTTATTAGAACAGATTATAGGGGAAAAATGAATCTTTATTTGGACTGAAAAGAAAATATGTTCAAGTATTAGGATTGGGGTTGAAAAAGGATAATTAGAAAGATTAGAAGAAGGATTTGGTGACACCATATAAACTATGAGAAAGCTCTTGATTCTTAGACTTTATTCTCATGGATTGGAATAAACTGATGTTGTCTGAAACAGGATAGTTTGTGGAGAAATAAGCTACAGAGGAAGAACATAAATCACAATGGTGTCATATTTTAATTTGCGTTTGAAAAAGTTACAGGGTATGGGGTATTCACAAGTTCAAGATTCTTTTTTCCCCATTATTATACTCTTCCTGAGCTTTCTAATCATTCTTTCTACACGCAAACTTCCATTTACTGTTCAGAAATTTGTCTGTATTCCCTTAAATCCTGAAAAACAACCAATTTTTTTTTTTGTACCAGGGATTGAACTCAGGACCTTGTGTTTGCCAGGCAGTTGCTATGCCACTGAGCAAAATTCCAGGCCCCCAGCCAATTTTTTTCTTTTTTTTTTTTTTGTACCGGGGATGGAACTTGGGTCCTTGCGCTTGTGCATATTTTGTGATACTCAAATACTGTATTAGAAATGGCAATACTACCAAATGACACATTTTGTTATAATGATTGATTTGTTTATGGCTTGCTGAATGCATCTGTGTTGTAGGCTTTTTGGCTAAAACAGTTTGTTAAAATCCTCTCGGCAAAGTGCTGCTACAGTGAACATGTTCTGGGACTCAGAAATAGCCTTATTATACAGAACTTGACGTTATATACTAACGGCATTTATTAGAATGGAATCTATATGTATTATTACTTCCAACACCAGCCTAGCTTTTTTAGCCTCTTCACAGCATGTAGCTTTTGTAATTATGCTAATGCTAGCTGATTCATGAGGACAACTTCCTAAAGTGCACTTAATTAACTTGGAGATTTTGTAAACAGCTGTGCATGTAGGTTCTGCAAATTGTGGTGGTATGTCAGTGTGACATGTATACAGTCTGCCTTCCTAGCCTCATCACTTTTTCACTAAAGTGTAAAACAAGATACTTCAATTTGGTACCTTTTGAATGAAGTAAGCTATTGAGGAAGATTTGGAGAAATGTCACTTTAGCCAGTATAAAGTTGGGTATAGTCTGACTCTGTTGGGCCAGAGGATTTAGAAAGATGGTTACCTTTTAAGTTGGAGGAAAGGAAAATATCAAGCTTTGTCTTGGAAAAGGGTACAAATTTTCCAACATTTTGCTGCCCTGGGTGCTCATCAGTGGACTGTTCCGAAAACCAGATTGCTCATTCATGATCTCTTTTTTTCTTTTCTGTCCAAGCTGCTGGGTTGATTTGATATCCTCGTCTGAATGGAAATTAACTGAATTTTGATATACTTTATTGAAATCTCATACTCTTTACAGGTAAAAGGCAAGATTCATGTACCTAGAACATATAGCCAAGGTTAATAGTGTCATACCAGAAATCACATATAACAAAAATACAAGAGAAAATCACATTAGAGCCTAGACCAAGCAAATCGAAATGGAAAGGAGAAACATCATCAGGAAAGAGCAGAAGGGGGAAAATGCTACATACAACTAGAAGAAACAGCAATTGTACAGAGCAAATGACAACAGAGACTAGAGAGTTTTTATTACAGTGCATAAAATTACACTCTCAGATAAGTCTTAGAAACTAAGCTAGGGATTTGCCTATGGTTTCTCAAGGGTCTTGGCAAGGTTGTTTTCCCTCATTAATTTAAGCTGCAATTCTGGGTACAATCTCTTTGGGAACTAGCTGGGTTATATTTAAAGATAATCAAACATTTATTGCTTAGACTTTTCTTTGACTTCAATAGTCAGAACCTCCTCCCCTGTCTCAGCAGAAGGAGCCATGGTGATGACGAGAGATTGACAGCTAGTTTCTCTGGGTAAAACTGCCCTTCTAATTGACTGGGGCTTTTCCTCTGTTGTAATAGAACTCGCTTCATCTTTGGACCTGTCCAGTGTTTTCTCTGATGGTCCTCTTCCTTTGTCTTCATCTTTTTTTCTTTTGCCTCCTTCTCCTTTGGAGTTTCCACTTTTTTTCTGGAAGAAGGAGTTATAAGGAATTGATATCAAATAATTAAGAACAAGGAGTCTTTTGGTTAGCATGCATTGGTCAGGGCCAAGCCAAAGGTTTTCTGAGTTAAGTGAGTAGGGGAATCATGTCTGCCTTGCTTCCGACTGTCATTTCACTAAGTTTTCTGGTGTGCTGGAGAATGGAGCTCAGCTGTTAGGTTTGATTTACAGTGTAGTCTAGATTGCATTTTTTTGTCCCCACCAAGGAATTTTCTTTTTTATTTTTCACAGCTGCTCAGAGAGTAGTTGTTTTCATTTTTTTTTTTTTTTTTTTTTTTTTTGGTACCGGAGATTGAACTCAGGCGGCAAAACCACTGAGCTAAATCCCCGGCCCTGTTTTCATTTTTAATCCAAAAGTGCCCTAAGAAACTCCCTCACTGAAGCAAGGAATTCTTTTCTTACTGGTCATCATATTCATAGAATTATTAGGCACAATGCTTAGAACTTTTATTTTTGATTTAAAATTAAAATGAAATTTAAAATATTTATCTTTTAATTTAAAAAGTATTAACCAAATCCAATCCTCTCCATTTGTCACATGTATGTTAGTATTATCTGTAGAAATTTCATAGTAAAAAAATGCACTATGTTCTTTACTGAGTCTTCTTGGAGCAAATTTGAGAGAGACTTGCTGAAGGAATAAATCTGCACAGATAAAGTTGGAATCTTATCAACATATTTACTTATATATACCCTTACTCCCATGTATATTTTGTGCAAATTATGATTTCTGTGCTGGTACAAATGAGGCATTTGATTTATAGTCTATCCCTAATTCTTACCACAATGTTGCATGTGAGGAAAAGAAAGGCAAATTTTAGTCTCTTGAATGTCTGTGGCTTATAATATTTACTTTCTTCTTCATTTTTTTTTGATTCTTTAAGACAGAGCCTCATCATATACAGACTCTGCCAAAAAAAATGTATACACACTTCAAGAAAAGACAAATAGTGTGATGTTTTTCAACAAATGGTATTACCCACATATGGGGAACTCAAGAGGATGTCATATATCACAGAAAACCCACAGCACTGCTGGCCCTTAGAGAAGAAATTGAAAAAGCATGTGCAGCCATCCCAATGACCAAGGTTACCCAAACAGCAGTTTGCCATACTAATAAATGTCTGGAAGCTAGTGGCCAGCACTTTGAGCACCTCTTATAATTGTAGAGGCCAGAGGTACTTGTATTAGTCTCATGATGTCACAATAAATTTAATATTAAAATATTTATACAAGTTTTTCTTTTCCTGAAGTATATATACAATTTTTTGGCAGGCTTTCTATATAGGGCAGGCTGAACTTGAACACCCTATGTACCCTAGAGTGGCCTTGAACTCACTGTCCTCCTGCTTCAGTCTCCTGAGGGATAGGATTACAGGTATGCCACCATACTTGGCTGCTTTATTCATGGTGTAAAAAGTCTACAGCTACTCATTTCTTATAGTTTTAAAGATAACATGATTATATTAAAAAAACTTAAATCTATCTGTTTCTCACTATCTACTTTCATAGATATTTTATGAAAATCAAAGAGATATTGAAACAAAAAAGAGAAAAACAGCATTTATTTCTTTACATTTCTAGGAATTAGAAGGCAGCTCAGTGTAAGCATGTAAGTCTGAATATTGAGTATTATTATTATTTTTTTGCCTTGAACTAAATCTGATCTTCTCCAAATTTCTTAACCTGGATCTCAGTTTCTTCATCTATGATGTAAAGGGCTTGAATAAACTCTGTAAGGTTACTTCTGGCTTTAACCCTTTTTTTTATGTTTATTAGTACATGTTTGCTGAACATAATGATTACACACATTGTGGGGAGTTGGTACATGTACATAGCACATCCTAATTCTTTCTACTTTCCTTTGCCCTCCCCTGTCATCCACTTCCCTGTGTCTCTAGATCCCTAACCCATTTGCAAAGGATCTGTCTCCCTATTTTGTATTATTCATATTATTTATTTATTTATTCCTTAAATTCTTTTATTGGTACATTTTAGGTATACAACACATTTACATTTATCATTGGCAACTTGTACCTTTACATGATGCATCTTGGTTTTTATTTTTTCCCCATTCCCAGCACTCCCTTCACCCCCTCCACCCTTCCCTATTTACAAAGACTTTGTTTCCTTTTTTTCCATTTCTCATAATTATTCCTTTCCCGTCTTTCCTTTCCCCTACCCCTCCCACTTTCCCTACCCCTTTGGACCTTTTCTTCCTATTTTGCATTATTGATTATTCATTCTAACCATTGGTACATTTTAGGTATACAATATAATGACATTCATCATTGGAAATTTGCACCTTTACATAATCTCTCTTGGTTCTTATTTTTTCCCCCTTCCCCTGCCCTCCCTTCAACCCCTCCATCCCTCCCTATTTACAAAGACTTTGTTTCCATTTTTTCATTTTCTCATAGTAATTCCATTTCCTTCTTTCCTTTCCCCTACCCCTCCCACTTCCCCTTCCCCTTTGCTCCTTTTCAACTGCAGACTGGATAAAGAAAATGTGGGTTTTTTTGCGCCGGGGATGTAGCTCAGTGGTTCTGATGCCTGCCTTGCAAGTGGAAGGACTCGAGTAAAAGAAAATGTGTTTTTTAAAAAATAAAATGGAGTACTACTCATCCATAAAAAATAAGAAATTAGAGACATTTATATCTAAATGGATGCACATTGAGGCGATACTCTTAAGTGAAATAAATAGGACACACATGTGTAAATACCAAATAGTTTCTCTAGTGTGAGAAACTGAAAGTGTAAATAAGGACTAAAAGGTATAATAGATAATGTGAAATAGGAAGAAAAGTATTATTCATATTTTATTTTGCTCTTTAAATTATTTATACTTTGAGTTTCTCATCTGAAAGAAACCATATGACATTTATGCTGTGTGTCTGACTTATCTCACAATATTATGGTCTCAAAGGGCATCCATTTTCCTATAAATAACTCAGATCTGTCATTCTTTATGGCTGAGTAGTACTCTATTGTGTACATATACCACATTTTCTTTATCTAGTTTTCTGTTGATGGGCATATAGGCTGGTTCCAAGATTTAGCTGTTATGAATTGTACTGCTATAAACATGGTATGCATGGATCACCTGGCTTTAAGCTTTTATGAAGTACACACACAAATAATATTTGTGATTATATTTACTACCATGTTGGTATAATGGATTATATATTTATATGTGTGTATATATGCACATATACTGTTTTCATTACTCATGGTAGTTTTGTTTTATAAAGTTGCCACAAACATGGAATTAGCAAATACTGAACCATTGCTCCTAGAGAAAAAATACAAGGTTAGATTCCTAAGAGCCTTGGGTCAGAAAATTTTTGTCAACTAATCAATGCATGTTTTGTGTGTATTTAATTTGAGGAATTAATTTGATGAATTTTTGATTCATTACACTGAACTCCTGGACAACAAAATTATAACTAATTAACTAAAACTTATCTAACACACAGACTTTCTAAGGTATGTTACAGTGTTTTTGCAGTCAGAAACTCTGAACAGTATTTCAGCACTATACTTGGAGGCCAATTCAAACAGTAAAATCACCCAAAATAAAAAAGAAACACAAAAACATGCAAAATATTGCACTAAGTACATGGTGAAGGGGTCACTTTTGTGCAATATGAGAGTGAAACAAGAAAGTAGTGTTTTCTTGCTCAGCCTCAACGTGGAGTTTCGGCATCTGGGAACTTTTTTTTTCTAGTCAGAAAATGCCCTTGTTTGAGAATGACTGCAAAATCACCGTTAGTATTGATTTGGGGTCACAAATAAATTATAATGAGTGGGTAGATTCACAAATACAGAGCTCACGACTACTGAGGATCCACTGTATTTATAAATACATACATATTAAAGCCATTTGTAAAGAACCATGAGTATTAAATATGATGCTATATAGGAATATAATTTAAATAATAAATGTGGTATACAAAGGAGTAATTATTAGCATTATATTCATCCAAATCACCCCATTATCTGATGAAATTAGAGTAGGCACTGGTCTGGGTATACTTAGTCAGGACTTGCTCCATTACAGCCCTCCATTCACTCTGCTCATTACCTGAGCTCTCTTTTCTCTCTTCAATTTGAGTAGTCTCCCAAGATCTACTTTTCCTCTACCTCCCAGAAGAGCTTTAAACATTTTGGGTGTCTCTTGTTTTGGTGCGAAAAAGAAGGCAAGTTCTTTTCTTGGAGATGTTTCCTCTTTGGGCTTATCCTTCTGTTTTGAAAGCACTCTGTAGAGAAGAAAGAAAAGCTGTATTGAGTACCTTTGTGAGAGTTTTGGCAAAATCTACCAGAAAAAAAAGGTAATTTCTTCTACCTGGGAACTTTCAATGGGTAACTCATTAACAGTTGTATTTAAGCATATCTCAGGGAGAAAGTTGACTACAATCATAACAAATTTATCTTCATCTTAGATTTCACAGAGTAAAACCAACTCTGTCTGCTTCTGTTGGGGTTTTAACAACTGTACCTGGCTTTCTTTATGAGAAGCTTTTCAGAATCTGGATAATGCACTAGAATTTCTTCAAGGGTCTTTTTGTCCAGAGTTAAAAGATTGGCAAACCCATGGGCTACCACATCGGCAGTTCGACGGTTTCCTCCTCCCATTGCCAGAAGGCTACAAGAGAGAAAAGGGAGTCTTGGCCACAGTTTCATTTGTACTTCACTGAAGTCTTTTTTGGTGCCGGGGATTGAACTTGGGACCTTGTGCTTGAGAGGCAGGCGCTGGAACCACTGAGCTAAATTCTTGGCTCTCACTGAAGTCTTTTTAAAAATAAATAGCAAATATTATAACTATTTCCTTCCAGACTACATTTGTTTTCCTTAACATAGGTCTATATTCAGGAGAGAGTACTTTACCAGAACCTTATACTACTGGAGGGAAGAGCATTTTCCCCAGTGCAGCTCTTCAAGCCTTCCCAGTATAAGTGGATGGGAAGCTAAAAAAACTTGTAAGCTCATAGCACTGCCCCACCCCCTCTGCCAAAGGCTGAGACATAGTCATAACATTGTAGATTATTTCCCTTCCCTTCCACCTTGCCCTAACACCTACAGGTTTCCGGTGTAAGAGTGAATTAGAGCTGACACAGCTGTAGGAGGCAAATGCTCTCTGAAGAAGAGGACTTAAGGAAGCTAAGTCAACAGAGGAGACAGAAACAAAAACAGAAGAGGAATCAGAAGCTTCTGGCACCTACAGCTATGCCAAATATTAAACACACCCCAGCTGGGTGTGGTGGTGGATGCTGTAACCCTGGCTACTCAGAAGGCTGAGACAGGAGGATCAAAAGTGCCAGGCCAGCCTGGGCAACTTAGCAAGACCCTATCTCAAAATAAAAATCCAAAAAGGGCTGAGATATAGCTCAGTGGTACAGCACTTGCCTAGCATGTATGAGGCCCTGGGTTCCATCCCAGTACTAAAAGCAGAAAAAACAAAACAAAACACACACCCCAGCTCCTAGCCAGATTAGTATAGAACTTCACATTAGAGATCTGTTTAGCTCAGTTGCTATGACCTGTTACATCATTTCTAACTTTCAACAACAGTCAAAAGAAATGCTGAGGCAAGAAAAAAATCAGTGTGAAGAGACAAGCAAGCATCAGAAAAGACTGAGATGACAGAGGTATTGGAATTATTAGACTGGGTATTTAAAAAGGGGCAGCAAAGATTTTCTCAGAATAAGTAGCTGAGTGAATCTATTGCTAGGAAACTTGCTTTGCAAGAAATTCTAAGAAATTCTTTAGAAAGAAGGAAAATGATAAAGATTAGAAACTCAAGTCTACATAAAGGAAGGACATGAGAAAAGGAGTAAATGAAAGTAAAGCAAAATATTCTATTTTTCTTATTCTTAATAATTTATCTAAAAGATAACAGTTTAAACAATAAAATAGTAGCATATATGGCAATAATAGCATATGAGTAAATGAAATGAATGATAACAATGTCGAAAGGGTTGGGAGGGAAGAACTGGGAATGTTTTGTTATAAGGTAACAGTCATGCATGTGAGGTGAAATAATGTTATTTGAAGGTAGGCTCGGTTTTTAAAATGTACAAGGAAAACTTTAGGGCAGCGATTAAATTTTTAAAAAATAAGTATAATTATTATGCTAAGAGGGGAGGGAAAAAAGAATCATGTAAAATATTCAATTAAAGCCGAAGCAAGGAAGAAAGAAAAGAAGGAGAAAAAAATACCTACCATAGGTCACCTTATGACATTAAATTTAGTCACTCACTTCCACCTGACATTAAAGACTGGGGGCTAGGGAGGGCAGTCCAGGATTCTCCACACCACTTATGAAGGGAGTCACTCCTCCAAAACACAAAGGTTGTATTTGGAATCCGTAAGTGTGACTGTATTAATGCCTACTTATTTTGCTCAATAATTTTGACATTTAATTCTTTTTCTCCAGACACTTATTTTAGTCCTTTCCTAGAGGTTCTCTCTGAGGCGATCTCTGCCTTTGCCAGAGAAGCAAGAGAAATTAATTGTATTCCATCTACTTATGTATCATCCTATCTGTCTATCCATCTATCTATCATCTATTCTCTCTCTCTATCTCTCTCCTCATGATTGTGCTTTCACACATTTACCTACCCAAATTCCTATTTACTTTCCTATCTATGAAATGGCTGTTACTATTCAAAAGAGAATGATTGGATAAGTCAATTTCATTCACATTCCTGTACTCTCAAACACTGGGTAATCCAGCAGTTAGGCAGTGCTGGATGGCATTGGGAGCTTAATTTGAATCTAAGAGTGCCTCTGTGAGTACGACAGACTATATGAGGAGAACGGAAATAACATATTTAAATGTCAGGTTATTTTGAGATTTCTCAAGCTTTAATTAAACTTGCCTACAGGTTACACATTTGGAGTGCTTGATGAGTTTTTGAACGGAAGAAATAGTCTGTCTGCCAGATGGATTTTGCCCAAAGTCTCTCAGCTGTGTTTAAAATAACATCTTTTTTCCCCCTTTTGTCCAAAAAGTGCTTTTCTAGCATTTGACCAAAGGAAAGTTTTACTCACTAAATCGCTTAGTAAGAAGGTTCCTAAATATTTCCAACCCCATATAGAGTTACTCAAAGAACTCATGCTGGAGGACAAATAGTTCAGGTTAATGTTAAATGTCTCCAGGTTAAAACAAAAAACAAAAAACATGTGAACAGAGCAATGGCCCAGGAAACAAAGAAATTGGTTCTAATCTTAGACTTAGCTCTATTCGAGGTGACCTTGGACAACAGCTCAAGGACTTTATTGATTTTCCCTTTAATAATGTAAGTATTAAGTCCTTACTACATATTCAACCTTTATGGTTTTATGAAAAGAATACAGGCATTGGAACCAAGTAACTTCCCTGTTTTGTAAATAAGTTTATGAACAGGTTAATGATCTCTTCTGTAGGAAACAAAGCCATCTTTATTACTTATTACAGGTACCTGATTATCAAGAATTAGCCGTTTGAGATATACATTATATTCAATTATGAAGAAGATGCAATTAGGTAAATTCTGAGTGAGCAGTTTTAAACCCTGCTTTGTGATGTATACCTGGACACTGAGAAACTTGTTTTGTACTAATATGCCAAAGTTCAATGAGTGAACAAAAGTAGTGTAAATGTCACAGAGAGACCAGTGTATTTGAACACCATATGGGAGAACTTGTATGTATAAACATCAGGAACAAGCAGCAATTTGGATATACATACACACCATCCAAACATTCACTCTTGTACAACTACAGTTTGAAAGCACTCTCCAAACTTCATGTATTAGAAACTTAATTTTCAAATTCATATGTTAATGATATTTGGAGATGGGACCTTTGAAAGTAATTGGGACCAGATGAATCACGAGAGCAGGGCCCCTCCTGAGGGCATAAATGGCTTTATAAGGAGAGCCAGCTTGCTCTGTCTCACCACGTGATGCTCTGTGCTATGATGCAACAAGAAGACCCCTACCAGATGCCAAGAGGATGCCAATGTCATGATTTGGACTTCCCTGCTAGGGAAGACTGTCCCAGGACTGTGAGCCAAATACATTTCTATGGTTTGTAAATTCCTTAGTGTTATGGTTTGTGTCTAAATGTCCCCTCCACCCCCCCAAGCCTCATGCAGTCATAGGTGGGGCTTTCTCAGATGTTGCTGGATCTAGAGTATGTGGCACTGGGATTGATTCATTGTGCAACGCTAGGAACAAAGGCACTAGGATTAAGGATATTAGTGCTACCCAGCCTAAGTAGCCCAGATAAGATATAAGGGATAGAAACAGCTGTTGTCATCTCTTGCTGCTTTGCTACTTTCTGCCCACCATGAACTGTTTCTCTTGTGCGATGGCTGTCTGCCATGCCACTCTGCCTTGGAGTCAGCTGATTATCGACTGAAACCTCTACAAACTGTGAGCTAAATAACCTCTCCTCCTTTAACTTTGGGCGTTGGGTATTTTGTCTCAGAAACGAGAAAAGTAACTAAGACATTAGGTATTTTGTTTTAGCAACAAAAAGTGGACACACATATTCACATATACATACATAGATATATAATGTACATATATATGTTTGCATTTTTTTTACAGAAATCTAGAATGTTCAGATTTTTTTTTTCATTCCAAAGTTTTTTCAGGGTCACCACACATGGCATTACAAATTGTGCGTTGCATGTGCACAGTATAATGTCATGTGAAATCCCTGTACTTGCATAGTGCACAATGTGCACAGCCCTTTTTAGCAAGGCCTCTGTGTCCGGAAAGCAGTCACATGGGAAAGTGGAATAAAAAAAAAAAATCAAGTGTAGAAGCAAATGGCAAACAAAAATGGGAATATGAAAAGGGATTTATTTAAAAAGTCAAACTTTGATGTGAAAGGGTTGCAAATTTGGCTTTAAGCTATTTTTACTACAAATAAATAGATCAATTATTGGTTTTAAGACAAATAAAAATATCTCCTGAAGGGCTTCATAGGATAAGACCACTCTGTAATGTGATGAAGAGCTTCTTACTCTCACAGTAGACACAATGGTAAGTTTCCTAGGATTGTGTGTAATAGAATTTCCAGTAAAGGCTGTGTGTAGCTGTCAATACATTTTAGTAAGAGTAATTCTGTGAATGAAGCATGGTCGTCAGTCCAATACAGTCTAGATACCCAGCAATCTCTTTGCTGCTCTGGAATGATCCATGGTACTGATTGCAATATTTGAAGAAACAATCCTTACACACCATTTTTTCTCTGATGTGTTTGTTTATTATCTAATTTTGAGGTGCTGGGGCCCAAGCCCAGGGTTTTGCACATGCTAGGCAAGTGCACTAATATCTATCCACACTCCATTTCCCAAGCTGGATTTGATAAACTCTTAAGTTTTTTATATGAGTTTGAGACTGTATAGAGGATTGTGCTTTAGTGGTTAATTGTGCTGGGCAAGATAATTCACTGTATAAATTGAAATGAAAGGGAAAAAATAAATTAAGCAAAAATTATGAGTGTAGACAGCATACAGTACTCCATAATGGACTTGTTCTGGGTTTACATAGATGATTAACATATGCCCTCAGGTTGTTTGTACTCTGGGAGTGGAGGAAGTGCGTCTGAAGACAGTAGAAGTAGCAAATATTGATATCAGTAATAACT